ACTTGGGTCAGAAATAGGAACCACAAGGCGGATTCCATCTGGTTGCATTTTATGCTCTGAACCTATCCAAGATAAGGCAGCACATATCCCCTTTCTCATGAAAAAAATACTTCCCAATTCTAGCCAAGCTTCAACAAGCATTTCCACTTGACTATAACTTGCTAAATCTGAAAAACCCAGTTTTGGGGGAGATGCTAGGAAATGGCAGATGGCCTTGAGGACGATCCTAGCTGCTTTCAGTAAGGAAGAGAAGGAGAAGCATGGCTTTGATCACATTTTCCCCCCACATTGGCTGGCCTGCTGTGAGCCAGCTCCTCTGGTCCTGTGAGCCAGCCTGGCTAGTGAAGGCAAAGGGATGACCTAGCTCCAGTAAGACCCTAATACACATGTCCAGTTCAGCACTTCTGTGCTCATCTTATTCTTTAAGAGAATGGATATAAAGGGCAAAATACATACAGGAGAGTTAGAAATAGGCTAGTTCTGGAATTAACTGCTCTGATTATTTCCTTTGCAGGTGAGATTGGGATCCTTTGCAATGCCCTCCAGAAGATCAAATGAAGACTTGCTGTAACTTGCTAGTGACTAGAAGCCATCATGTGCAAGTGCCAGTCTTGATCTAGCCTCAGTCTATTATCTTCCAGTGAACTGCATCAATAATTATGTTATATATCTTAATTATTAGGGATTAGCAGAGAAATAGACATCTATATGTGACTCTCAACTCTTCTGCCCTTAAGACGCCAATCCATTTTTTCTCACTAATGTATAAAAGTTACCTTATTCCTGGAGACCTGGGGGAAGTCTGTACATGTTTTGTGCCAAAGGTTAGCAGAAGGAGATCTTTACCACGCAGAGCATAATCTGCTGCACCTGTGGATATGGGACCAGGGGAGGGATGTCAATGATGAACAGAGTGATCCACCTTGCCTCCTCTCACAGTCACTCTCCACTCAGGGCCTCCCAGTTGTCCAAGGTTCCCATGGAGTCTGGAACTATACACCTTTCAGGGTATACAGGGAGATCTTTTCAGGGTGCAAGGGGAGATTTCTCTTACAGGCATACTCAGCTGCTCACAGTGGATGGCTGGTGTGTGAAGGCTACATTCTTTGTGTGTCCTTCCCTGAGAGGTGTCTCTTAACTTTCTGGTCTCACAACCTAGAAGGTGGATACCAGCAGCTTGGAAATGGAGAGGAAGTGTCTGTTACAATGCAGCTGAAGATGCTGGAGCCTTCCAACTCCTAACTCAGTCTGTCTGTGGCTAGAGTCCCCACCAAAGCCATGGAAGGCCTGGGTCAGCTGTGCCCTGTCTAACTGCATTCAAACCCAAACATGTTTTCTTTCAAGACAGGTCCTAAGTAATGACATCTTTTTGTATCTCCGCTGCCCGTCTGAGCTTTAATCTCCTTTTTTATTTTTTTTTGGTGAAAGCAGTTTAATTTTTCCTGGAGTATATCTCAACTGTGTCAACAAAGGGAACTAAAGGTGGCTCCAGCTTAACTCAACGGCTGAGCATGGAGAGAGAAGAGTTTTCCTGTTCAGGAAGCTCTTTCTGTATTTATCCAATAAATTTCACTCAATCAACTAATCACTCAGTCCCTCTTGGACTGCTCCACTTTGTATAATGTCTCCTTGTAGCTCCCTGGTTGAAGGAGGGAACTCAGCATTGGAACATTGGAGCAGAAGGGAGAAAAGCAAAGCTGAACTGCATTTCCAGCTTGAAGCAATTCTGCATCATGACACTAACATGGCTCAGGGGTCACATTTCTGTTAGAAGATTGAAAGATGGAGAGGAATTTGAAAGGCCACGTCTCATACCTGTGATAGTGCTAATTTTGTATTTATAGTTTGAAAATCAATATGGCTTTAATGTAAGCATCATCCTTTAGGAAGATAGAAAGTACAGTTCTTTTCATTATATATATGGTAGGTAATAACATTAATTTAAGGATACCAGCTGGAATGCTTTTCAATAGACATATATTTATGCAAAATGGTATCATTTTGGTGCTTTGAAGTAACCTTTTTTATCTCAGTATCTTTTTATTCCTTTTTTTCTCATCACAATGTCTCTCTAGATCTTTCAATCCCACTTGACATGTATTTTCAGTGTGAAAGTAGCCCATATTTTTCTCTCTTAATATAATAGGGCCCACGAGGTAACTGTATACTACAAAGAGGCAATTTCATCCCAAGGGTAAAGTCTTTCAAACTAATCCTCAGGCAGCTTTCCAAGCTCCTCTGCTTCTGGCTTGAATGACAGCAGCAGTAGTTCTATAGCAATATCGAGAGCTCAGGATTCATGATTTTCTTTTATGTGCAAGTGGAATAGTTAGAGAATATTTATGCCACATGTCTGATTCTCTGTCCCTTAATGCAGGTTTAAATAAGCAATAGCTCCAGCCAAAGCAGCATAGCATGGCTGCTCAGCAAGACAGATGAGAAAAAATTAAATGTTCATCATTTTAAAAGCAGAGGAAATGTATGAAAAGTAGATTTTCTTGCAGAACAAATAATCTTGTACCTAAGTACTTTAAATACTACCAATAAATCACATTTTAAATAGTACTCCTTAATGGGTGACTTCTTATTTCCATGCCTAAAGAAAGTTCCAGCTTTGCAGGAAAATGCTTTTTGCATTATCAGACCAGTGTAAATTCTCCTTGTGTGGTAAGCATCCAAGTCAACCAGAATTAAATACTCAGGTAGGAGGTAATGCCCATCTGAGGTGCTCCCCAGAACAGAAAAAGGCTCTCTTGGGCTGGTTGACTGTCACTCATCCAGCCAAGATTATGGGACTTCCTGATGCGTGCCATTACTTAGAAATGCACAGCCAAGCCCAGCCTCCTCTGCATCTGCATACTCCAGAAGTCTTTGGGTGCTACTCTGACTAACCCACCCCAAACTAGTCTTTTAGGTAGCCTTCCTCACTTCTATCCCACTATGACCACATTTCTTGATGTCCTCATCTCCAGCTCAGTTTCAGGTGATCAAAGAAGCTTTTTGTGAGGCCCTTTCCTTTCAGTGACATTGGCCCAGGTCAATGACTGAGATGGAGGGAGGCCAGTCCGCACTGGTGGACTCCTCTGGGTGTCTGAAGATGCCTACATCTGACAGCAGCCTTGCAGAAGGGACATTTTAGTCCCAAAGACTGCAGACATGGTTGCAAAAGGGATTGAGCACAGGAGCAGTCCACAGGAATGCATTCTTTTTACAACTCCTTCTGCTGCTTCAGACGGTGCTGTCAGAGAAGACATCTTGATGTTCAGATGTAACCATCTAAATTAACCTAAATAAACTAAAAATATTAATGCTGCATCCATCCCAAATGAGTGGCCCTCTTCTCATACAGGATAAAGCTACCTGAAATGGTACCAGATTTAAAAAAGGGCAGGCTGTTTGTGGTGATCAGACATGGCCTTCTTCTCCTGTGCCAAACCTTGCCTCTGCTGCTGGGGGAATGTGGGAAGAGCTTTTTTTTGTCTTAAAGCCCATTTCTCCACCCAACTAATTCAGTTGCAGCAACCACCTCTGAGGAGCCCTTGCCCTCCTGGAGTCACCTGGGACACAAGCCAGGCCTGGAGGGTGCTGCAGTGTGCATGAGGGATGGGTTCTGCATCAGGGATGGGTTCTGCATCAGGGGTGGGTGCTGCATGGCAGACAGTGGCCTGCCCCATGGCCCCTGGGCCTGAGTTGGGCATGGCTGGGACATCCCTTCTCCCACGCTGGCACTCACCACACCTTGCAAAGCCCACTGTGCCTGAGGTCTGGAGGAGCCAACATTCCCCAGGATGCTGAGACCTCCCTCCTGGGCACAGTGCTGCAAAATTCCCCTTGGGTTTGTCTGTCAGCAGGGAAAGAGATGAGGAAATCAAGGCCTTCCTGGTGCTCTGTCTTGACCCAAGGGAAGACATGGTGCTGTCGTGATCCCTAGAGAACAAACTTTTGTATATCTCCCTCAGCCAGGGACGAGGTAGAGCACAATAACACTTAGGGGTGTGGCTGAGCCAGGTTAAGCTAAGGAGCACATAAAAATGGCTCCATCTGCAAAGGGAGGCCAGAGGAGTGGTCTTATCTCTGGACCTGCAGGATGACCTTCACAGGGGGTCTGCACATTGTAATTTGAGGTATGAAGATATGGGTGCTCATATCCAGAAATAATATTTTGATGTCAAGTGTAAGGGAAGGGAAGATGTGCCTGCCTTGTCAGGAGCAGAGATAAATCCCCCTGGAACTTATCCTGCAACCCACAAGAAAGATGTGACCCTGGTCTTTCTGAGAGCCTATTTCACTGGAGATAAAATCATGACAGAAACAAGTTCCAAAAGAGGAATGTAGCCTGGGGGCAGCACTCCACTCTTGAGGGGTAGGATAGAACAGGTTCTGATCCTGTGGGTAGGAAAAGCTCAGAAGTAGGCAGTGGGTTCTGACTCTGGCTGAGTTCTCTCTGGCTCTCCCAGAACTGTGTCTGTGCAGAGGAGCCAACACCCAGAATGGGCTATGATTTGGGAGAAGAGCCCATTGGTTCACTGGGGATGTAGACAATACAGAGAGAGTCCCAGTGAGGTGAGACAGAGTGGGCGTGAGGGACAGTGTCAGACACCCTGCAGGTCAGTCCAGACTGGGAGATGTAAATGGACCTCAGGCTAATTGGTTGCCTCTCCACAAAGGAACCCCTATGCCGGGCTGAACAGCTTGCAAACACCTTCAAACAGAGCAGGAGGACTGCACTTTGAAGTTGCACAGGGGAGGAGGGCCATTTTGGGCTCTTGCGCACATCCTACGCAGGCGGCTTCCCTTGATGTGTCTGGCACGGCCAACATAAACATCCCCATACCTAACACACAGCAGCCAGCTTGTGTCCCTGCTCCTGGCAGCTCTGAGCTCACCACAACAGACACACTGCATCTCCAGTCCGACCAATTCCCCTGGCCATTGCTCCCACACCCTCAGGCAGTTTCCACTCAATATCTGGCTGTTGCAATCCACTCCCCTATCTCCCGATGAAGACTGATTTGGTGGGGATGTCAGGCCCAAAAGAAGAGGCCAACAAGGAGAAGGAGATGTGTAGCATACAGTCATTGAACAGCCGAGGCAGCCTGGACTCCAACAGGGAGGATGGCAGAGCATCTCTCATCCTGACCCTCACGCTCTACAATGTGAGGAAGATTGAGCTCTCTAAGGCAGCCAAAGTCTTTGAGGTACAGACCTCAATGTCCCCTTCCTTTGCTGAGCCCTCTCTTCTGTCTCTACTGCCTTCATGTCTCACAGTCTGCACCTCTCCCTCTCTCACCCTTCTCCTGCTCCCTGCCTAACACCTCGTGCTGCCTTCCCCTTTTCCCACTGTCCTGGTTTTGCTCCAGCTGCTCAGAGGGCTGGGCTGGTCTCATGGTGAAGAGGGAGAGTGCTCTGGAGGGGGGGAGCATCTCGGCACAGTGTTTTAGAAGAATCACCATTTCCATTTCATGCAAGGGCTGTTTAGAGCAGATACCAATCAGTTGTTTCTTCCTAGCAGTTGTGGTGGCCGGCATTTCAAGCACTCAGACTGTGGGGATGTTAGAAGCCAGAATTTTCTCTGCATATTTGGCAGGAGATACAAAGACTATAAGAGCTGTGAACCACACAGGCATTATGTAGTCTGGACACTTGAAGTACCCCTACCAGGTGCTCACTCTTATCTGGAAAAATGAATTACTCTAAGGAAAAGTGTTTTGCTTGTTACTTATTTCTCACAATTATTTAATGATTATGGTGCTATTATCCATCAATAGATCTGCTTTCATTCTGGCAGGGTTTTAAGTTACCCAGCCACTCATTTGCTATTTCTGCACAGATGAAATTCTACAGTCAACAGTATCTCATCTTTCATCTCCTTCTTTCTCTCCCCAATGCTATAATGTTTAATCTTTAGCTCTGTCTGTAGTTTAGCTCTTTGTAAATCAGATGTTATCGGGCTTCATTGCTTAACAAAAACTTCTAGTTAATACCTCTTTTAGTCACCTTTTAAAGACATTGTAGAAGTGTGCCTAAACTTACCTGGATTTTCAGTCTTTGGAGAAGCTTCATCATATGAACACTTGGCTCTTGCAGATGTTTGAAACTCAAATCTATCACTTTGAATCCCATCGAGCCGAAAAGCCCAAGAACTCTGTGGATGATCTTGACATTTTTGTTGAATGTGAAGTTCACAGTGCTGATGTTGGTATCCTTATCACGTCCTTAAAGAGAGTAGCAAAGGATGTGAAAACCAGCAGAGAAGACAAAGGTAAGAAATGTATGCATCTTTTAGTGCAGTTCTTTTGGAGTAACTTTTTTTGTTTTAGCTTCAGCTTCATAATAGCAATTCAGTTTGTCTGGAAAGCCAGTGAGTGTGCATTCATTATTTGTCTCTGCATGGCCGCTTTCCATTGCCATTGGAGCAGAGAGGCACTTTATCATAGCCAGTGGAACTGAGGTGAGAAATGTTCCAGCAATCAGGGAGGTGAGAAGGATAGAACAGCAGAATAAAAAGCTGAGGAGAAGCTAGAGACTCCTCAATGACAGGAAGATTTTGTGCTGAAAGCTGTGCAGAGAACTGATTGTTTCTAGACAAACACAGAGGCAGATGGGTATTTTTCCTGTTTGCAGGCAGGAATGAGTGAATAGAGCTGTTAGAGACCTTTAGTGCAATCCTGAGGTGGCAGATGAGAAGGCTGAGGGTCCAGCTCACAGACTGAGTTCTCTGAGTACAGAATTGCCATGGGGTTCCCCTCTCTTGACAAGGCCAGACTGATATTCTCAGAGCACTTTTAACTTGCACACAGTCCTGTTTGGGCACCTTTGGGTGTTGTTTGAAATTCACTGCCAGGCTAACTTGAAGGGCATCACTATTATCAGGGAAACTGGAAAGCCAGAGAGGGTTTTGGAGCTGGAGAAGAATTTCTTTAGGATTTCCTTGGGATTTGAGAGGTTTCAGACATGCCAGGACTTAGAACTACAGTAAAAACTAGGGATTGTTAAAAGAGGGTGTGCTCATGGTTTTTTGTTTTTTTTTTTTCTCTGTAGGGAACAGGCAAGATGTGTATGGGGACACAGTGGGGCAGCTGTGGTCAGGTCCAGGTTTTGAGGGTATATGGCAATAGATGGCAAGAAAGGCTCCCTGCATGCAGAACCACTGGTACAGCCAGAGACAGAGTCTCAGGAAAAAGTTCTGGGTGCACATAAGGCACCTGTCATACTGGTATTTCTTCCTACTTATCACAGAATTGGTTGTAATGCATGAAAATTACATAATTTCCCCAACATGCATGAGTATTTTTAGATTTGTACTTCTCTAAACTTGATGTTCTTGCATCTAAGATAATACAGCAAAACTTAAATTTACCAGTCAATAGAAAGATGTTTGATGTCTTGTTTAGTATGAGATTAAGGTGACCCCAAATGGACCTTTCTGAGTTGTAACACAGAAAGTCTGATTACAGCATCAGTCTGACCTCGGAAAGCAATATCAACTTTGTGTTTTTCCAGCAATTCTTTTTTTAAATTAATTTCTCATATATGCTGGCATTTAAAATAAAATTATCACATTTCATTTGCATTTTAGTCACTGTAAAAGCTTCTCACTTCATGAGAAGGAAGCTGTTTGGAAATATAGCTAAAGAATAATGTTACTGCAAAAAATAATGAGCCAGAAGGAAAAAATCTTGAAGATTATTCACCTCTTTGGTTTCTAGAAATTTTATAAATATCATGTATTCTTTTTAAAATATTTTCTAACTTTTAAAAGTATGAAAACATAAGACTGCTTTTTAGACAAGATCAAAATATATTCTTAAATCCAGAATGTAGAAATATATTTCTTGTCTTGTGTCAGACAAAAACTACATTTGATCTAAAAATATTTTTGCCTTCAAAAATTATTTCTACTAATTAAAACTGAGAGATTATCACAGCAACTTAATTTCAGATAATTTTTCTTCTAATCTGCCAGTTTGGCAAGCAAGCAAGTCAACTACTGAGGTGTATGACAATTATGGTAACATGTAGATATGAAAATTCTTAGATATTGATGAAAAGAATTTGTAATCTTCAGCACAGCTTTTAATTTTGCTCTAAAATTTATTTGATTCTCTCTCATTTAACTCTTTCTGCTTTCTCTGCAGTGCCCTGGTTCCCAAAAAAAATCCAAGATCTGGACAAGTGTCACCATCTGATCCCTAAATATGACCCCAGTTTGGACCATGGTCACCCCGTAAGTTTAACATTTTTGTAATTTCATCTTTAAAAGAGAAACTCTCTGTAGGGAGCTTGTTGTAAGGGAAACTTCAGGAGTAAAGAAATACTAATGAAAGAAGAGAAAAAAATCACAGGGGCAGATAAAAGCTCATCTTCATTGGAATTAGCGGCTGCATGTGTCCCTGCAGGAATGGACCACAAAAGGGTTTTACTGTAACAGCTTTATGTGTGCCCTCTTATCCACACCCTAAGCACAAACACTAGGAGAGGGAAAGAAAAATGCACTGTAGAGTCCTGCTCTAGTGATGATAGTAAGGCAAATTACTGGGAACAAACAAACACTTATTTCTCATCAAAGTTTTCCAGCTTTAGTACAGATGAGATGCGAGTGAGGCACAGACACAAAAGAACCCCAAAAGGCCATTTGTCTCTTGGCAAGTCAGGTCACAGAATCATTTTATTCTGTCAAGCATCATATAGAAGCTATGCATGGAAAGGACAAAAAGAAGAGATATTTTGCAGTGAGAAAAGTAGTGAAGATGTAGATGTGTGTCCCCAGAATCTACAAGGAAGTTTTTGTAATTCCCTTCTCTACATGTCTGAATTCTATTTAGTCCCTTTTATTAACCTACACCATAATATGAAACAGACCTTTCCAAGTCTATAGTCTATTTTCGAGAATCGCTTATTCACTATAATGCTCTAGGAGAGCTTCATGTCCTCCTTAACCAGGACATCTTTCATTCTTCCTTATTTCTTTCTGGACAAACAGTCCAAGTACTTGTAATTTTCCTGAGCTAACTCTTAGGCCGTTTCTCATTAGATAAATGAACACACATAGGGAATTCTTTGAACTGGACTAAGTTCCCTCATCCTTTGCCAAATAGAAGGTGTGAGCACTGAAGAGGTTGGGAGAAAGCAGCAGTGGTGCTCAGTTACTGAAGTATTGAGTGGGGATAAATCTAAATTGCAAAATGTAGTGCAATTTAGAAACACCTAACAAGTTGAAAACAAGTTACCTCAGGCACTGAACATCACTTGTCTGTGACAGATGGGCTGGTTTACCAGGCTTCTGAGCAGGGCTCAAAAACGGAGAGGCTGGAGGAAGGCACAAAAGAAGCTGATGTACAGGGAGCTCAGCAAAAATTTTGCATATACGTTTCCTACCAAATAGACAGTTTGGGTTGTTTCTCTCCCCACCTTCAGTTTGTTCTTTACTGGCCAAAGCAATCAAACTGACATTGCTGTGACACCGATTTCTGGGCCACCCTGTCGCTGGCTGCAGGTTCCCCAGGGAGGCTCCTACTGCCCAGAGGGTGGGTACAGAGCCCACGGGACAAAGCTGGGAAGTCACAGCATCTCTGTGAGTCTGGCCCAACAGCTTTTCATGTGTTTTACATGGACTTGTTACAGCCACTGACAGGCAGCTGAATGAACATACTATCCACGACACACGACATCCCGACATGCTCTCAGGATCCAGCCCTTTCCTCAGATTCATGCCTACAACACTCATTAACTGCAGGGTTACTGGTATCATTGCTACATTAAAAGTTATGTGAATAAACCTAAGGGACAAATTTGGCTTGCAGTACACAAAGTGGTTCCAGTAAATGCTGAATATTTTAGAATAATAAATATTTGCACAGTGATGCTGATCAACGCTGTTTCATAAGTTACATTAGCACACAGTCCCAGATTTAAGTTTTAATTCCTAGTATGAATGATGTAAAATTAAAAGGAATGTGATTCCATGTCTGCATGCATATTCAATATCTGGCAAAGACTGCTTGAAGTTTCAATTCTAGTAAACACAGAAGGAGTAGAAAGAAAATGCTGGTAAACTTCCCCTTTAAACAGACACCACTGAGTCTGTCTTTATCACAACATAGTAATAAATGGGCAGTGAGAACTGGGTGGGGGGGAGCCTCCACTTCCCACAGATCTGATGGTAGTTCTGATGATTTCTACTTATGCCCACAGCTCTCTCATAATGTAAAACTTTTTTTCCTAATTATTTTCTAACGCAGGGATACTCTGACCTGGAGTACAGCAAGTGGAGGGCATTCTTGCTGACCTGGCCTTTAACTACAGAGCGTAAGTGCGAGGCTGCTGACGGGACATGCAGTGCTCCACACTGCCAGATTTCATGTCCAAGACATGTCAGAGATGTCATATTCTGTCCATCAGATCACTTTTGAGACAACAAAATTCAGCCACAAAAGCTCTCACTCCATATGAAATAGACTTTTGTCATGACATAGCAAATACATTTTAAGACAAAATCTTAAGATTGCATTCACATATCCCATTCCAGTACTGGATTTTGTTTTAGCAGATGTGATTGCAATATGATCCTTTATTTCAAATTTTAAGTTTCTTTTAGGACTCAGTCCTGAGCTGAGGCTAATGTTTTTCTAGGAAATTTGAGGAACAATATTTACAAACATATTTTTGATGGTGGAAAGTAGTTTACTATTTTTGGTTTTTTGCTTTTTAAAATGTCTCTGTCTATGAACACTGACTACCTAAAAACATGAAAAGCTCTCAGTTCTCCTGTAAGTGATGGAAAATGTTTCTATCTTTATGTGTAGAACTTCACCAGAACTACACTGTTTTCTGATGGGGTTAATCAAAGGTATAGGTACAACTGGTCATGGATTATCAGCCTCATGCTATCCAAGAACTGGTGAAGTCTTTGAAGTCTTGTGAGACTTCTGAATACAGTTTTCTCTCTTCCATCAATTATCAAAGTCAGCACAGCTCAGAGCAGCCCAAAAGTAGAACTGGACTGACTCAGAGCTACAGAAGAAGCAACAGTGAGGAAGAGGAGAAAAGACCACTCATCAGAGAATCAGTGCTAGCCCACAGCAAGCTCCTGGGCAGCCCTCTGCTCATGGGTTTCTGAAAGCTTCTCTGTGATGGTGCTGAGCTGGTCACATCCTCCAGGGAGGGCTCCTCCAGGCACACACTGTGTTTTGCTTCCTAGATTGCCTTCAGCAGAGGTGATGGCAAGCCTGGAGGTCTCTAATTCCATCTGTGAACCAGAACACAGCTCCCTTTCTCACATATCTCTGTTTCCTCCCCACATTGTAATAGAAGAGAGAACACCCACTTTAGAGCTGACCAAGACAAATGGATGGTTCATTATTTACTATTTCTCTGTTTCTATTTTCACTATGGCAAAAATTCATGGTGCAGGCAAAAAAAAAAAAAAGCCTGGAAACTGAACTTGAAATCTCAAAACATGTGTCATATTTCTTCTCTTCATTACAGAGGAGACCCTTTACCTCACATTGAGTACACAGCACAGGAAACAGCAACGTGGTGAGTTTGGTACTTATGGGCCATTCCATAGCAGTCCCAGGAAAGGCTGGCAATGTGAAACAGCTATAACCTTTTTAAAATGTTCTTCATCCACCCCACATTTTACTCTTTGGTTAAATGTCATCTTTTGGTCATTTGGCTTTCTGCAAAACATTCTCAGGGCTGGTCTTAACTATTCACTTTCTAGAGCAAAAGGCATTTTCCTGACTATCTCCCTGCCTACAGATCCCATCAGGATATCAGAAGCTAGAAAACATCTGGACCCTATAGAATAACAGACAGACCTCTACCTCACCATAGCTATGGTGCTGGCAGAAATATCACATTTTCAGACTTCTTGTCAGGAGAATACGCCCACTCACAGGACAGAAATTCACTCAGAGGGCACAGCTAATTCAATATTCACAGGACAGAGCAGCCTTGCTTGTTCTCCTTCAAGTATTCATTGTTTTTAACATGAATATGTAGCATTTTCCAAATTGAAGGTAGAGGAAATTTTGAAATACCTTTCTAATACATGTTATTTACACTGTAAAAGGGCCTTAGATAACATGTAGATATCATATGAAATTATAGTAAGTTACTGTTACAAGGGTGCAGCATTTCTTCACTGGGGCTTTGTTGCTCCTGAAGGTCTGCCACTCAAAAAAAAAAAAAAAAAAGGAAAAAAAAAAAGCGCCCAAAACACAACCAGTGAATGAAACAAAATTAATTCAATTCGAAGTATTTTTTAAAGCACTATGTGAAATATGTGGCAGATTTGAAAGGGAGCAGAGCTCTTATTTCAAATCCCTCTGTTTCCACTTTCTGCCACTAACTTGAAGATATATCAGTAAGCAGCAAAAATTCCACATTTGTGTGATACTACAAAACATTAATATGTCCAAAAGTCTCAAGTAAGAGCAGAGTCCTGGGATTGTGCAAGGTGCCACATGTGAACAAAGAGACAGTCTTTGTTCAGAAATTTAAATGGAAAGAAGGCCTAAAGGTGGGGGAAAGGAAGAATGAAACCACATTTTCTAACTGTGCCACTGAAAACCCTAGAACTCAAGTAATTTGTCCTAAATCACATCATCAAAGTTTATTCCAATGCCAGGACTTAAACCCATAGAATTAGATGTCTCATGCCAGAACCTCTCTGGCATCCCATCCCTTTTAATACTTCAAGTAAAATCTAGTTTGCCACAGAAAGCCACAACCACATAAAAACCTTGCCTCCAGCTCATCCAGGAGGACATGCTTTTATTAAGCTCAAATAGGTTTTTATAGCATCTTTCAATAGTCAAAGATTGATGATCAGTGTCATGCTCATGATTACTACCACCAGCCAACAATCTTGGCATGGGATGGTGTGTGGGAATGTCGTATTTAAGAAAATTTAATTTTGTGTTCTTTCCTGTTTTTCTCTTTTATTGCCAACCTTCGTCATTCCAGCTCTTCTCCACCTAGAATTAGACCCATTGTGGCAACAGAATACAGTTTTAAAGGAGTATCTGCCCATTTCCTTAAACAGCCAACCCCAGCAACCCAGGTTGTCTTGTTATGTAAAGCTGTCTCCAAAATTAGCCCTCCCAATTGTTATCACAGCCCCCTGAGGCTGTGCCCTGAGGTCAGCTGCATTACAGCACAGCTTAATTGAGCTATGCAATTGCAGGGGAAATTCATAGCACAAACTAAATTCCCTTGGTGTCACTCTGAGGAGTTGCTGGATGCCTTCAGTTTGTAGCAACGTGGTTATAAAAATGAAAACCAAGCCAGCGAAGAAATATGACTTTCAGAAAACAGAGGGTACAGATGATCTGAGCTTTTGTTTTCAAAGCAACTTCTTGGAAGGCCCTGAAACTAAGCAGCCAGATATGCCATATGGGTAAAAGCTGTGTAAGAAAAATGGAGAATTCAGGGGAAAATTATGGGGATGCACCTGTTGCATCCTCATAATGAAGCTGACTAGTGAAAAAAATAAGGAAAAATAAGGAAAAATAAGGAAATTTATGTAAAATTAGGTTATTATCTTTAAAGTCTTTCAAGCATCTGGCTTCATCTTTTGTTAGGATGCTCCTTTCTAGAGTTTTTAATAATGTTGTCTTCCAGCAGTGCCAGCAGCATACCTGCTCCTCTCTTAACTTTGGAGAGTTCACTTGGATGATTGTCTTTGGGTAATTCATCCCTGGTCCCTGGGACTGCCTGCATTTCTGTGGTAGCCAATGTTTGGACACACAGCAGAGTGACACTGATAAAAGAGACCATATGTGCACAAGTGTAAACAAGCCTGCTCTCTCTAGACTCCAGTCTGGGCATGAACCCTGCACTGGTTCAAATCCCACACAACCCCACTGGAGTCAGTAGTATTCTACGAGGAAATAAGCCAGGGCAACGCTTGAACTCTAGTCCTCCTCATTTTTTCCTAATTCCTCCGTGGAAATGGCCCAGTCTCCTGTGGCTTGTGCAATAGTGACAGCAGCCACTGTTTCCCTCTGTTCTTTTAATTTTTTTTTTCTCCTAAGGTTTTCCTCCCCCACTTCATTCTGGTTCATTATTACTCCCACACTGCGTAAGACATTTGTACAAATAAAGAGCCATTACCAGGGACTGGCTATCACCTCCATAGCAACAATAGCATCACAAAAAGGAGAATAATAATAATAATGGTAAAAAAAAAATTACCAAACCAATGAAAGGTCATTTCCTGTACCGAGCATTTCCAAGAATGATCTCAATTTTCATAAAACAATGTTTATAAAGTTGTTGAGACCCTAGGGCCATGTCTGAACAAAAATAACCATTTCTATACGGTTCTTTGCCATCCTATTACTACTTGCTTATTTTGCAACAGTTAAATATATTTCAAACCACAACTCTAAATCCAAGTACCATCAAGTTTGTGAGAATATTAAAGCCTGTGTCCAAATCAGGTAACATATATTATTTCCAGCTGGTCTCTTTTTGTATAGTGGGATAAATGCTTCAAGAAGTTGGCATATCTTTCAAATACATAGCCCCTGCCAGGCATTTTGAACTTCAAAAATACAAACCTCTTCACCTGTGCTGATATTACCATTCAGTATCAGAAAATGTGTTTTTCCCAGAGGCTTTTAAGAGAAAAATCTAGGCTAGGCTTCAGGGTGGAAAAGGAGGGACCAGCACTTCAAGTTGTACCCAAACATAGAAAGGAGGGGAATACCTGATTAATTCCTTTGCTAAACTGAGCAACAGAGTATTCCAGACTCAGCTCTCTTCCTGGGATTTCCCTGCCTCCAACACACTTAGCAAGAAGGTGCCTCATCAAGAAACACTTCTGTATCTGAATTAGAGTTCTGTAATATTAAAGGGCACCTTCTGAAGGAAAAGTGAAACAAAAAGCCCTTGTGGTTTGCTACATCAAACCAGGACCAGCGTTCAAGCACCAGCTTTCAAATCCCGAGCTCAGATTTTTGGACCATGACCCCCATGCTGGGGCTTTACATCTCCTGTGGATATGTAGATGCTACAGGTAAGCACTGCTTTATTGAGGTGTCTCACTCTATCCAGTTTTGGATTTTCAGGAGAGAAGTCTACAGGAAGCTGAGGAGCCTTTACCCTACTCATGCCTGTTCCCAGTACCTGGATGCTTTCCAGCAGCTCGAGAAGCACTGCGGCTACAGAGAGGATAACATCCCTCAGCTTCAGGATGTCTCCAGATTTTTGAAAGGTCAGTCATTATAAATTGTGGTTTATTCTAGGGTTCCCTGCACATATTTGTGCATCACAAGCCATTTCCTAGGAAACAAGCTGGTGAGCAGAGCTGATGAGCTCTAGCACAGGGCATTAATTCCAGGAATATGGAGGGACCCAGCTGGAAGTTTGTGTGTGTTCTGTGAGCGGCAGCAGCTGCTGTGGCACTAACCAGCTAATCCCTGCACCAGCAGCACTGCAGCCACAGCAGGCACTGCTCAGTACGACTTCCACACTGCTTTTTTGTGGGTATGGCTCTGTTTTATGCTTCTATAGCCATGCTGATAGTAAGACCCAAACACAAGCACAGGTACATACCTCTCAAGTATGCTTTTTTCCTGATCCACCTGGCAGGATGGAGATGTGTGCTAGAGAAGATGATTTCCAGGAGATCCTGCCAGTCAATCAGGAGCTGCCTTGAAACAACTCTGCTTCCTTCTGTCCCTGTAACACCACTTGTCACACCAAACTTTTTGGTGCCTGCCCTGTGGCTGACAGGAGCGCACTGAGGCTGTGGTGCTAGTCCATAAAGGCATGAAGAGGTCACCTTAGAAAAAGGAGACACAAGTCTGCCAGGCTGACCTGTTAGCTAGGGGCTGACTAGCCAGGAGCAGGAGAGTGAGGGGGCCTTGCTTGTGAGGCCACAGGCTGCATGGATTCCCAAGGATTTCTGTAAACCACCTGATCATCAAGAATTGCTAAAGAAAGTTGATCTTTAAAGCCTCCTCCTCAGTGAAAAGATGTGACAGAGAGAGGACAGCTTATCACCATGATTAAATACGCAATAAAAAATATGGCTTAACTTTAAATAAATTGTACCTAAATGCAATACTCAGGAAATCCAGTGACCTGCTCCATATAAGAGTAGGGGACACCAGTCAGCTTGAATAAGCTTTCTGTGTCTGAAGAGTTTTCTAAGCCTTTGGAATTTCTCATGAAGATTAAGTTGTTTGATGACAAGGTTTTCATTGCAAGTTCAGTGTGAGGGAAGGGAGGGTTGTCATGTGAAAAGCATCTTCCATGAACACCCTTGCACCCAGCTGTAGGAATTTTTCTGTGCAGGCATTAGGTATTTTCTCATGTATTCTCACTTCTATTCAACTACCCATCTTACTTCCCTCTTATAATAACTGGGCTGATAAATATTTTTTCTCTTGAAGTAGTTGATCTCATTTAATTTACACAATAGCTGACAGCAGGGAGTTCCAGGAATTGTGATTCTGATTTGATTATCACAAATATTCATATCCTTCAAGTGTATCAGGTGATTTCAAAATGGGAGGATTTAAGGTAGTGCAAGGCTATGCTGCCATAATCCTATCTGCATTGCTCATGTTAGTTGACAGGATTTGGTTGCCTGGAGTCTGCTCACTTCCTTTACAGGCTCTGGTTCTAAATATTCTCTGTGTCATAAAACAAAACAAACTAAACAGCAACTCTGACAAACCTGTCAATAAGTTTGGAAAGATGTTCTCAGTGAGTTTCAACTCATTACTATAAACATTAGATGTCTACTCTAAGCTAATTGTATGAACTACCTGGGAATGAGTATCAAGCATTTCAGAAGTATTTTATTCCATTCTGAAATGGACAGCTAAGGAAAATGTAGAACTATTCATAGTTCTTGAGACCACCTACCCTCATTAAACTGTAGATTAAAATTGGATTACTTTAGCCTACAGGTTATGTATGAATGAAACAAATTTTTTTCAGAAGAGCTGTGTTAACAGCTAGACACAATTAAGAGTGAGGAATGTATTTTAGTCCCGTTGAATGGATATCTTGGCTCACTTTCCTCTAACAAGCTCATTTCACTATGCAGAACACTTTCTAGAACAGCATGAAGATTTACATTATTGCAAGGCCCAAACTCTGAGTTTGAGTCTGAGTCAGGAACATCTGCAAGGTCTAAAATCTGACCAAAAGTTAAAGCATGTTGCTAAGGGCATTGCTCAAACTCCTCTTAAATGCTGTCAGGCTTGGGGCATTGACCAGTTCTCCAGGGAGCCTATTTCAGTGTTTGACCACCCTCTCAGAAGAAATGCTTCTGAATGTCCATTCTGAACCTCCCCTTGTACAGCTTTGAAAATAATAAAACATAGAAGGCAGAGAGAGAGAGACAGAGAGAGAGGATAACTGGAAAGAAAGTGATCATGTTAAAACCAGCCCACACAGCCAGATAAACTTCCTTCTTCTCTACAGCTTAGCAGTATCTGTGAACATAAGAAAGCAATTCCTTTTGATTTGGTATGAGATCTGTCTGTTTTTACCTATTAGTGAGGCTGGCTTGAAGAGAAATAAACTGTACTTCATAAATATTTCACAATTACTTAAAGGGAATTAAGCAGTTAACAGTGTGATCGCTTACAGATGGCAAGTGTTTTCCTAAAGGGTTAACTAGATGAACCTAGGCGCATCTTTCTTTCTAGGAAAGATGTTTGGATTGAGACAGTCATTGTGCTCCACAGCTGGAAGAAATTACAGCCAGTGAACTCAAGCAGGCTCACACTACAATGCACAGGCTGCCTGTATACACCAGTTTTTAGGCCAAGAATTAAACCTTGCAGATCACTTTAGGTCAACTGCTCAAGACCTTCTCTGCAACACACTTTGATTTCCCAGATATTTGGGCAGCAGGTCCAACCAGCCACACCCCCAATTCTCTACTGATTGCTGGTTTTATTGTGCAATCATGAACAAGGAGTTCAGGTTTTGCAGATATTACCTTCAGCAGATAACTTTTTCCTAGGGCTTTTCAAGGCAACTGGCCAAGTCTGTTCCGTCAGCGACTGTCTGATTCACTGTCCTCTATTTAAAAGGACATCTCAGGGAACACAAGCTGTAATTTTCATTTTCCCTCCTTCTCCTCCAACATGGATGCTAAAGCTATATAAATTTCCCTAGACTCTTTCATAGACTTTCCAAAATTGAGTTACTAAAGTATTGGTTTTCATATCATATATTTTTCAGCTAATGTAATTTTCACTCAGAATCCAGCCCAAAGATTACCAGATTTTGAAATGTTCACATTCCTATGGATTGGACCAGCAAATAGACAAAGGTAGATAATCTCTGCAGGATTTTGTTTTTAATTGTTCATTTTTGAGGCAGTTCTGTACTAGTTACTGTTGAATAGAGGGGAGCAATAGAAGATATCTGTGGCAAATGCCCACCACCTAGTCCATCACAATGTCAGGAAGAAGCACTTCTTGCTGTCCTCTCATTCCTCTATTTCTCTTATATTTTGTCACTTTGAATTTCTTTTCCTTTTTTCTTTCTCTGGGTGTTTTGTTTTGTTTTGTAATGGGAGAAGTACTAATAGTCTGACAGAGTAAGACAAGAAATACTGGAAGAAACATGAAAAAACAGACCAAAACAAATCTCATAAATGGCTTGGTTTCTGGGTGGGATTTTTTTGTTTGTTTTAAAAAGGAAAAAAAAAAAAAGGTTATAGGCTTCATGACACAATAGAATATGGATGAAGAATTGAGAATAAAGCCATTTCTGATTTTTTTTTAAAATGCAGTTTTATGCTTTCATGAAGATGAGATGTCATTTACGGGAGCTGAGAATGAAACACTGATTTTGAATATAAGACTTCAAAAAGATTATCATTGGCTCACTTTGAAAGCGGTGATTTTCAATTTTCTGAGCTCTGCAGACCACCAGCATGTTTCCCATGGAAATGTAGAGTGTGTGTTCTATTGACCACCAGACTGGTTATTTTTTTGTTTATCTCTCACAGTCCTTTCCAATAATACGGGTGCTCTGGGGTAATCCTGGATGTACAAGCTGAAATCACAGTGCAAAAGTGTTGCATTCTTCTGTGTGCTGGTCTGTGGACATGTACAAAGCAAAAGACCTATGATTCCATCACTGGGGGGCTGTGCAGTGGGTTCTAGACAAACATAATGGTATAAAAAAAAAACAAGGGAAAAAAAAAAGAAAAAACACTGGTGTTGGAATTTCAGGATCTTTCTTGTTCCAAGGCCAGGGCGAACAATACTCAGGAAAGGTTGTTTTTGAAGTCTCTGAAGTTTATTGTCCTTATCTATTACAAACTCACGAGGTGTGAGTTCTCCCTAACAAGTCAAGAAAGTGCCCTAAAATGGTATCTGTTCAAGGCTATTTAAGTCCTAATTACCCAATAAACAGTTGACATCTATATTATTTATGCTTCTAACCTAATTATGATCACCCAAAACTCGTAATCAGACATCTTTCATCTAATTGAGAAAATCACCCAGATCCGTGAAGAAGGAAGGAGAAGGTAAAGAAGAACAACTTGCCTCCATCCTAAAACCTCCATCTTTCTTTGTATTTATTTCTATATTCTAAAACCCTAAACTCTAAGTTTTACACCCTGTTATATTACACACTTCTGACCAGCTACACACCCGTAATCCCAGTGCTATTAATCAATTTTGGAAGTCTTCTCCACAGCCTCAGGTCAAACGCAGTTCTCTCTTGTGGGTCTGTGCCTTTCAGCACAGAAAGTTTGAGATTCTCAGCATCCAGGGTTCCAACACACCAGAGGCAGGTTCTGTCCCCTGCTTGATCTGAAGGACTGTGAGTGACCTCAGACACACCACTGTCATGTGCAACGTAGAGAATTGTGTGTATATGTACAAAAATGCACACTGGGGTGGGCAGTACTCCCACACCTCGTGAAACTGCTATGGAATGCACACAGGATGGATGGATAGGTGATTCCATGTTTCAGGAACTGGTCCTATACCAGCACAGGGGCACATCAATCAGATAAGCCAAGGTGTGCCTGCTATGCTTGGTGGAGGGAACTATTCCAACAGAGCAGGAAGGACCCTGAAACCACTTGGCTAAAGTAAACAAGCTGTTACCCTAGAGACAGCTGAATTTGGTGTCCCTTCCCTTTGCAGAGAGAACAGGTTTCCAGCTGAGACCAGCTGCAGGACAGCTGTCTGCTCGTGACTTCCTTGCCAGCCTGGCATTTCATGTCTTTCAGTGCACACAGTATACGAGGCACTTCTCTTCTCCTATGCATTCCCCAGAACCGTAAGTTTGATGCCCTGACATAATTCCATCCTTCTGAATGTGTTGGGGATCATTCTCTTGGGACTGGCTCTGGAGTTCCATCCAGTAGTCTAAAGAATAAAACAATTTGAGAAACTGATAGCTGGAGAGTTAGAAGGGGAAGTCATGCATGAGAGGGTGTGGTTCTCTGTCTATTTTGCAAAGTTGTCTGGGCAAGGAAAAGACTAAAGAATATCTGGTTTAATCTTTTCATCCTGCCTTCAGTTACCATCTGCTGGGGTTTGATTTCCTGCTGTGAAACTCTCCCAGTAAGTGCTGGCCAGACAACAACAATTACATTTCATGAGAAATTACAAGTTCACACAGACGCTTTTGTTGTATGCTGGGACAAAACAGGGACCTTTCAAAGATGTTGTGACATAGAAGGTTAGTGCCCATGCCATCCCAAGGAGACAATAGACAAGGTGGCAGGGGGCAGCTGGCTGCCTGCGGCTGGAAGGAATGCTCTGATCCTTGCAGAGCCAGGCCAGGTATGGAAGCAGTCACTGTGGAGTGGCACTCACACCAGCTCCCTTTGGGGTCTGTTGGCTAAAGTCCTTCACAAGGACCTCATGAAGGGCAGGAAAGGAAGCCTTTAATAAACAAGAAGGTCACTTATTTTCCAGAGACTGCTGCCATGAGTTGTTGGGTCATGTTCCCATGCTGGCTGACAAGGAGTTTGCCCAGTTCTCACAGGTAAGAACATTTTCTGCTGACCCTTTAACCAGCTGCTCTGGATAGAAGAGCAGAGTGCCTTAAATACACACAGCTCACCATGCGATGCAGTTCTAAGGCTGGATTGTGCCTGAGTCATGACCTCCAGGCGTGGTGGGCTAGCAACGACCTGGGAGATGTTTCCTCCAAGGGAGGGGTAGCACTGCTCCCTACAGACACAGTGTGAAAGGAAGGGCAGGCGGATCTTGTGGGACTTCTCTGTGGGAGGGCTGTGTCAGTCTGGGGAAGGATGTCTCTGTGGGGCTGCAGTCTGAGCTCTGCTGACCGAGCTGCTCCCCTGGCTTCCTGTCCTCCACCACATGAACCCACACAGCTGAGCCTCCAAGCTGGTTCTGTCTCTGGATGTACATTCTTGTCTCACAAGAGACTTTAATTGTGTCCATCACCATGTCATTCATCAGAGTTGTTTTTCCCTTTACAGCTCACCAGATTCTCACAGCATTGCTCACACTGGTGAGGAGGCTCCAAAAAGCAAACAGAGCTTCTTTGTACAATAAGGGGCTATTTAATAGGAGCAGTCAGTGTCAGACCCAAATGAACTCAATGACCTCTCATAATTAAAGACTTCAGAATTTTGAGTGCTTCTCAAAACCATAGCTGAGGGAAGAAGACATCTCATTGTCCAGGCTTATCAATCAGTGGCCAGTATGGAAACTGGGGATAAGATCGGATGGGTAACATGATGTAGGTCCCAACGTGACCTAGGTCCCTGAATAATAAATTAAATATCTTTAAAAGAAAATCAGTTCACCTCATATGATGTGGTTTCCAGTTGTATCAACTTAAATACATGCCAGTTACCATTTTGATCATAAATATTGGTTATCAACAGAATCAAAAGAGTAGTCATCCTAGTCATCTATAATTTATTCTGGAAGAAACCTATTCAGTTCAGCTCAATAATGGAACTTAAGACATATTAAAAATAAAAGACTACAGCAATTTCAAAGATTTCAATTTTCTTCTTTTCCTATCAATAGCACAGACTATACAACATGATATCACATTCAGTGAATTTTCACATTTCACTTTGGGTCCCCACAAAGTATTCTCACAGTTGAAATTCACCCCATGAAATTCTTTTTTGCTCCATTCAGTATGAGACAATGAATGGTGAAAATGCCCTAGTTCTGTTTGTTTGTTGCATGATATGGCTCCTGGGATAGCAAAAAAATGAGATATCTACAGTTTCCTATTGTGAGAATAACATTTAACAGGGAGCACAGATAAAAGTAAACAGAATCATCCCTGCACAGATCTGGCCTGCTCATAAGGGCTGTCAGAAAGAGTGAGGGACAGAAAGGTAATGGCAAAGATAAAACCCACCTTTGCTTCCTTCCTTCTCATGACTCCCTGTAAATTTTTGCCTGGTGTAGATAGTCCAGCATTAAGACAAGAGGTGGTTAATTTTACACAGAGAACACTGAGGATTAATCACTCATCTAATGTGTCTCCCAGTGGTATGTAGCTGGGGGCCAGGGAGAGGTAGGCATCCTGGAAGCCATGGAAGGTCATTTTGGGTGACAAAAACAATGAATAGTTCATGCTATTCATGCTAGAAATGATGTGGCCCTCCCCCTTCCCCTCTTTCTCTCCCTTGGGCTGAATAATCACACTAGTGTAACACTGTCTGCTTGCTTACTTGCTTTAGGATATTGGACTGGTTTCTCTTGGATCATCTGAAGAGGAGATTGAGAAACTGGCCACAGTAAGTACAGATGGCAGTTTAATATTAGAGGCAAGCCCCAAACGATTCACTGCATATCCCTTGCTGTGCAGGGAAGGCTCTTTTTGTGCCTCAGACTGACTACAGAAATGGGAGCATCGGCATGATTGTCTCTTCTCCTCCACAGGTTAGGAAGGTGCTGGAGTAGGGACTAGAATCCCTCTTGGGGAGGCCAGAATGGTGTGATTCTACCTGAAGAAATGCTTACACTTCTTGATTTTATAAGAATATATTTCTTAAGCTAAGTTTGTACAATTTCAGGCATAGGATGGTCCCAACTCACATTCCAGATTCACCTAAAACATTAGATACCCAGTGTGATACCTGTATTTTCTCCTACACGATGTGCAGGGAACCATCACAATTTGGTTCACCCCACATTCATTAACCTCACCAAATGGGTGAGCACTTACAAGCAGTTTGGGAGCAAGTACTGCCATTCATTTCTGAGTCACTAGGCTCTCTGCAGCCACCAAAATTATCTGTACAGCCCCTTACTGCCATCTTAACTTGTTCTGAAAGTTGTCAGGAGACCAGGTGATTTTTTTTCTGATAATGGCACCCATTTACCAGTCTTGATGATTTTTTCAGAGGAGGAGAGGAGCCTTACCCCACCAAGCTCTGTGAGACTCATTTAGTACAGGTAGTGAGTGAGAGAAGAATGTCACTCCTGAAGTTCCCTACCCAGTCCAAACTCTCACTCAGGAAGGAGGTTGCGGCTCACCTAAAATCCATCTGCGCATATCCATCCTTGGGTTAGGACTAAGTAAAACCACTACTATTTTTGAAGACTGCTACAAGTGCTGAATCCTTTGTGATTTCACCCAGGTCCTGGACTGGTGAGGCGACAGTGACAGTCCACATTTCCTCTTCCATGACCCGGGTCTAGAGAGGCTAGAGTGAGATTAAGATCCATGGCTTTGCTTGGGTTAAAAATTCCAAGTCCCAGAGAGCCATTTTGCATCATTCCCCAGGACTTGGTGAGATTGGGTTGAGGCCTGTGGTTTATAAAGCATTCCTCTGCAGGCACCTCTTCCTGAGCCTGAACTGAATAGGCCTAGACAAGAGATAGAAGATCAGAATTAAGATCAGAATAAAGGGTCTCATGAATGAAACTTTCTTAGCATCATCTAGGTTTGGGGAGGTAGAATAAGGGCACTTTTTTAAGGGCTCCCTACAGTTCAGGGCCTGTGAGAATACAATTTTGTAAGTGCCATTCAAGTATTCTGAACAGTAAACCTATTCTGGATTAACATCCCAATAGTCAAATGCTTAAAATTTCTGTACCTAATCTAGGCTCACTCTTTGAGTTCCTTTTCTAAAAAGTGAAGATAGAGGAGAAGCTGAAGTGTATTCATTATCCTGACATGAAAGTCTAACATGAATTTTCAGATTATCTCTCAAAATCCCTGTCATTCCCTGTTCTTCATAAAGACAATTTTGGTAACTAGCTTAGAAGTTTCTTTAAAGAATCTCAAAACTGTTGTTATGGTCTAAAACATTTGTAAGACAAATTTTGAAATGCCATTATTTCATTCAGCCCCATGACTTCTCTAAGCAGGTGGATCCATGCACCAGAGATGAGAAACTGCCAGTGTCCTTGTCATCCAGATTGCCACTAAAACATTTTTAACTCTCTTAAAATAGTGAGAGCTTGAAAGAACCTCGCTATCCAAAATCTAAATAGAGGATATCTTAAGAAACACTAAAAAGAATTCCTTCTCCTCCTATGTCTCATTCTGCAGTCAAAAAAGTCTCCTGCAATATGAAGAGATACTAAAAAGACTTTTCATTGTGAAATAATAAAAATCAAGATTATTAACAGAATATAAACACATAATTATTTGCTGAACTGTAAAGAAAGCAACTCAGGATCCTGCAAAAGGAAAGATCCTGGCACGTTTTTAGTTCAGTGATAATTTTTTTTCCTAAGTGGGACAACAAGTTTTGAAAAATTACGTTACCTTTAGTGTGTTATATGCTGAGGGAAAAAAAGTATTTTCTTAAAATATGCAATTATAACATTTGAAGACACAACAGTATTAAGTAATGAGGATAAAAGAAAATTAAAGGAAAAATGAGAAGCTTAAAAATTCCTGCCTTTTCAGATTCTTTTTCACAAGTTGTTCTAATTCCCAGCTTTACTGGTTCACTGTGGAGTTTGGCCTCTGCAAGCAAAATGGATTGATCAAAGCTTATGGGGCAGGACTGCTTTCATCTTATGGGGAGCTGATGGTAGGTGTCAAATGTTGAAAATATTGAAAGATTTCTATAATCCACTTTCCTGAACTCTGGTAAAAGCAAACTATGTTTTTCTACAAAAATTAGTATGATTTAAAATTCAGATTTTCCTTTTGCAAAGAAATAATTCTCCCTTCACAGAAGCTACTGCATAGCAGAAAAGCTACTGTGGTATTGCACCTGTCTTTCATCTAAAGAGATGAAATTCAATGAAAGAAACCATCCCATAAAACATTAGATTTGTTTCTTCCTGCTTCTGCCAGTAGTGATGCAGCTGACTTTGACACAAAATTCACATTCCTTTCTGAATTACTCACTAGAGGGCAATATTATGCCTATTATGAGCTTGGCTATTTTTTCCATGCCACTGACATTCAGACACATATGAACCAGAAAGGCACTGATTGACTGGACCAAATGAAGGGCAAAGAAATAGGAAAGAGCATGGACACTGATAAAAAGAAATTGTTTTAGTATTTTTTCTTACTAAATACATTTCAAAACTAATGTCTGCTCTAGTTTTACATAGACCAAAATCTGCAAGCACAGGTTTCATACTGACTTGCTTAGGTAGATTAACTGTAGAAAGAGGACTTGTACACTTTTACAGAAAGTGGGTTTCCCCTCCTTTGACCAAACAGCTGATAGGAAAGATTAATTTCTCCTTAATTTTGAAGAGCACTGATGCAGGTGATCACTTTTTAATTGCAGAAGCCCCAAACTGGTGTCTGTAAGGCTCAAATACTTCAAGCTGTGTGGGTATTGGATGATATTTTTTAAATTGGTAAGAGCCAAAGGAAAAGAAATACCACTCTTTTAAAGCATTTTTATAAACCAGAAACCTTTTTTCTTTTCCATGGGAGATATATTTTAAGCTTAACACATAAACTCAGCAGCCTAGCAGCCAGATGCATGATACATTCACATGGAATTGTGGCTGAATTAGCATAGCTTGGACTCCCTGAACTGGAGATAGTTGGGTTGTCATGACAATAAACATTTTACAAAACTCTCCCAGTTGTGTACAGGTCAGCCCACTTCCCAGTCAATTGACAGGAGGGAAAACCAACATTTTGATGTATCTCAAGGCATTTCAAGTAGGAGTCCCCAGAGAAGGGCAGCTGAAATTAACACAAGGAAAGGGAAACCTTCCCAGACAACAACCTTCACTTTTACCACTTGCTGAGTTTAGGATTGCTTTTTTCTTACAACGCTTGTAATTTGGAGATTTTTGTGAGGTAACTCTGTGGAGAGCTTTCTCTCCTGGTAAGGTGAAAGGTCTGCATGTTCATTAGCACTCTAGAGGAATAAACACGACTTCCTTTCTACATAGCAACCTGATCTTGGCCTGATTGCTCATCAGCTTCACACTGAAGCTGATCAACTACTGCTGAAGCTACTGTTTATCTGGGAATCCTTCCGTACCTCTTATTTTCACTGACGATAAACAGGAAACATAAACTTGCTTTCATTTACCCGGTAAAACCAGAAACGTCCAATCAAAGCACAATTCAAGGCCGCATTTATTCTACTCTGCCTGGCTTAATACTTTATGGTTCTAAATCAAGTTCATTTACATGTTAAACAGGGTACTAAAGGGCAGTGGTAATCATATTGCTGATATTTATGTAGCTTTCATAGCAGTATGCGTAACAAAATCCATCTGATGTGGTTACTTCCTTTTTCTGTTTAAGGTTTACTCAAATGAAAGTAAAAATCTCATCAGAAATGCTCCCTTTTGGTGTCTGTAGTCAAACTCAGCAGACTTGTACTCTCTCTTCTCTATTTCCACCCTTTCCCTCCTCAGGCACCAACAAGCTCTTCTGCTTTTGGTTAAAACCATAGGCAAGGACTGCTTGTGCACAAAACTGTGCTATCTACATAGAACAAAAAAAAGTGCAATCTCAAACTCCCTACCTCTGAGGCTGAGAGGGAAGTCCTAACTGTTCCTGAGGTGATAAATGGCAAGTTTTTGTCACTACTTTTATCACTGGTAATTGTTGAGTAAAGCTACAGGATAAACTTCGGATAAAGCTGTGTCTGCCTCTGTGTTCATCCATTATATTAGTGAAAATACATGCAGGAGTGATAGCATTTATACTCAACAGGTAAAGAATAGGATTATCCCCCTTTCAGTGTGTTCATCTTGTATATAACACCGAAATCAGAAGACGAGCAAGCAGTTAACCAGCAGTTCTGCTATGAACCCTGCAGAATCCCTTTGTGAGCTCTGCAGGTTCCTCACTGTGCATCTTCTGGGACAATGCTTTAGTGGTTCTGTGCAAGTCACCTTGAGCTCCTGAAATTTAATTTGTACACAAGTTAATTATATCCATGAACTTAAGTGCTGAAGTTTCCTTCTTTAGCTGACTGATTTAATCTCATTGATTTTTATTTAGAACAAAACCAAAATATAGAAATATTTCCGTTTATTCATTCTAATCTGCCTGTGCATCTGATTCTAACTTCAGTGTAGGCACTGGCAGTGTGGGTAAAGTGGTGAGGTCCAATGCCTAAGCACCTGTTAGCAAATTGCAAACCTGTACCAGCTGCTTCTTTTACAGCTAAATAGAGAAAATGTGTAGTGCAGTGCCTGTTTCATAGAAAGGATTTTTTTTCAGAAATAAAGCAGTGTCTAGACACATCTGTCAGAGAAGATGAAGATTGGAAGATAGTGAGGCTCATGATAGACTTGGGTTTATTGCTCTAGATAAGTTTTGTTGCTGCTTGGCAGAAAGCCATTATCCAACCTAATAATTATCTGCCTTCTCATAGTCTTCTCATGGGACCAGACGCAGAGTTCTTCATGGAGCTCCCAGACTTGATTCGCTGTCATTTAGCTGATCAACATCTTTGGCACAGGCAGTGAAGTTTTTGGCACTTTGTTGGCAGTGAACATAGCAAATCTTGTAGGAATCTCACTGCAGGTCGTGTGTTGAAGGAGACACAGCAGCAGCCTGGGCAAGGGAGGGGTTTCCTTGGACCTGGAGACTTCTAGGCCAGGAGCAGCAGAATGATTCAGTCAGCAAGGAGGGAATAAGGGCATTAGTTACTGAGGTTAGATGGATGGCTACAAGAAGATAACAACTAACCAGTGGGAGAGGGCAAGCAGCAGTCACCCAGCTTATGTTATATGAGAATTTAGCATCAGCAAGAAGCCTGGGAACATCCCTGAGCTGCAGCCTGGACTGACTGACTGTGGGTGTGTGACTGTAACCAAGGGAACCACATCCTGACTACGAAATCTCTAAAACATTTCCCTTTTCTCCACAGCACCCACTCCTACAAGTCTGAAGTCAGCTTCAGGTAGATATTTTCTGTGGATGAGTTGATCCTGCCTAAACTCAGGGCATAATTTGGGGGTAAGGCAGAGGATGAGAGGAAGAGCTAGGCACTTCTGCATGAGTCTTGCACTTGAATGCCTGTTATCTAACAAAGCATTTAGTAACAGCAGCTAGGTATCAGAAGGATAACCATCCCCAAGTCTAAACTGAGCAGTTGTAATGTGTCTGACTGCTGGCCAAACTTGCCTCCTCTGAACTGTAAGAATTCCTCCCCAAAAGCTCTCAGTATTGCACTGTTTATTTCACTATATTCTGTCAGCTGTTCTGCATTATCCCAAATGCTTCTTCTGTTAACACTCAGCTGGACTCTATCCTACATACTGTAAAATCTTATGGCTCATACCACAATTCTGGCAACACTCAGTGCTACATATGCTTTTCTTGCAGCACACCCAGTACTTAACTTGTAGAGGCCTTTAAGGCCATCCGGTTTCAAGCTGAACTTCACTGAAATCAATGGGATTTCAGTTCTGCTTCAACACTGACAGTATAGTGGGACCCCTGTCAGGTTTTGAGTTACTGAAATCTTTTCCCATTAGTTCCCCAGAGCTTCTAAGATTCTAAGAGCAGCCTCATGTTTGTGTATACCAACCATCTTAGGTTGTATGAGTGCTATCCAAGGTTTACTCTTCAATTACACACTGCAAATGAAGAGCAAGAAAAAAACACCATCTTTTATATATTCTTGGGAGTTTTTGTCTTTTGCGTTTTTTTTTTTTTGTTTGTTTGTTTTGGTTTTTTTTTTTTTTGTGTGTTTTTTTTTTTGTTTTTTGTTTGGGTTTTTTTTTGGTTTTTGGGGGTTTTTTTTAAGCCTGGTATTTATTTCTGCACCTGTTCATTGAAATGTCTAAATATGTGCTTAGGAGTACTGTCTGAATTTTTCCAGCTAGCAGATTGAACTGAAAGTCTTGAGCAGCATCACCCACTCTTACCAGTTACTTACAAGTAGCATCCTGAGAGTTGACATTTGGATTATAAAATAGTGAAGGGAGTCTCCTGAAGACTGGGGAAGAAGAGAGAAAGGGAAAGAGACGGATCTCAGAGAAGGGTGGGTGCTAAAAGAATGTCCCCAGGTGAATGGGGCCCACTGTCCAGTCTGAAGGTGAGAAAAAAGGTCTCAACATTGACGGGATGAGCTCCTTTCTCCTTTTGGTTTGTACCCAGGACACTTCACCAGCCTGGCCAGCTGGAGACCCAACAAGCTTTTAGGAACATTTGTGATGCAGCTCAAATGTCACTGGGGCTGAGCTATTCTCAAGTATCTCACTTGGGTTTCAGGGGCGGACAAAATGTTTGGGAACTCACTTTAGACCTAAGCAGAGCTGCCTTCCCAGGACTCTGTGCAAGTGCCAGACTGGTGGCTGGTTTAAAGGGCATTTCCTGTATTTGTAAACAAACTATGTAGATGTACCTTTGACTGCAGTGTGGACAGAAGAGGCTTCTATAAGCCTCATGTTTGCCTGGGGCAGGCAATGTAAGAGAACAGTAGGAAAACACATACAAGGACCTCTGTGGGTTCAAAAACACAAATGTGCACATGCAGTATAGTGTTTATTTATGTATTGGATTTCAGGGAAGATTTTAGGTTGCTATACTGGCCTGGGAGCTGTGCATAAAATACCAAAAACATTCTGTCTTCTGATCTTCATTGCTGCAGGAAGCATGAAATTTGTCACAAGGGCTAGGGGACTCTAAAGTAATGCTAGACAGGACTGTGAAATTCTGTGATACTATTTGAAAAAAAGCAGCATGATATTTTTTTCTTTTAGATATCTATATTTTGGGGTGTGGCATAGAGTTTTCCCTCCCTGTCTGAGGACATGGCTGCGCTATCCAGTTGCACATCACTGTAATATAGGAAATATATATTTCTTTTTTTTATCTTAAAAAAAAAAACTTTATTATTTGGTTTATTAACTGCTAATTATGAAAATCAGCTCTGACGTATGAAAGAACAGGACTTTATATTACCCCTAACTATTCCCCAAGGAGAATTTTACTGCCCAGCAGGAACTAATTCTTTCTCTGTTCATTCACCTGCTCTAACCGGTGTTGTTCCTGCTGCAAAGTATGCTTTGTCAAACAAGCCTTTTGATCCAGAAGTGACTGCAGTTCACCCCTATCAGGATCAAGCCTTCCAGCCTGTATATTTCATAGCAGAAAACCTGGAAGATGCCAAGGTCAAGCTTCAGTAAGTGAAGTGTTTGTGGGTATTTTCATTGAGGGGCGCACGCTGGGTTGATTCTTAATCTCAAATACATTTATTTATGTATTACTGCAACAACCATACCAGGCTGTCTCGCTGCATCTGCATAGTGGCTTTTGCACAACAAAGTTAAGCCTGAGCTTGCTTATCTCAGAAAAGGTTCACAGAAAGCTAGAATTTATTTTTGCTATGCCCTGTCCCGTGCTTCATCTTAACAATGCTTCATTTTAGCACCTTCTGAAGTAAATTCTGTAACTGAACTGTGAGAGTGCAATCCCACCCTGTGTGCTAGTCCATACAAACAGGAGGTTGTGAAGAACTGATTTACCCAAGGTCACATGGAAATTTCATAGCAGTCTCTGGAATTAACAAGGATCAGCAGGGGGCTTAAAAACAAGATTGCCTTTCTCCTCTGATTATATCTGCACAAGAATCCAGAATCAGCATTCACAGGCAATCTAATTTCTACAGAGTAGCTGTCTGCACCCTAAATAACATAATTTCAAATTAGCTTGAGGTGTTTCTAAACACATTTCCTTAACTGTGTGATGTTATGCAGTAAGGATGTTTTTTTCTTTTTTCCTTTTTTTTTTTTTTTTTTTTTTTTAAAGTAAGCGGGGTTTAAATTCTGGCCTTCGTCTCCAACAGTTAGAACAACATGACCATCCTGGCTGGAGGCAGGATGTTGGTTGTGGAGCTACTGGGGAGCATGCAGGAGCTGAAATGAGGAATTTATTAGAGGAAGAGAGCCTGAGCCAGACTTCTTCCCTACTCTCCTCGCCTCTTCCCCAGAAGCACTGTCTGCTGAGGCTATAGCCATGGTTAATTAGGCTCATCATCTTAAATCTAAATGTTCACATTAAATTTTTAATACATGTAAAAACGTGGGTGAGAACTCACTGGCAGGAGAGAGAGGACTTGCAAAGTATTTGACTCAAGCAAACCTGCAAAGAATGTACGAGGACAAGGAATACACCACTCTCAGGCATGAAGCTTTTTCATACATTTTTTCAAGATAGTTGCACAGCCAAGGCTGCTCAAAATAACTGAAAGCACAAGAATCTGTCAGCACGGAAAACATAAGGCAACAGCAGTACAGGGGGTTCCTACCAGCGTGCACTTAATGGAAATATTGTAGAAAATGGCAAGCAATCATGTTTTTTCTTTTAATAGAGACAGAAAAATAGCCCAGGATGCCTAGTATCAACAGGTTTTTAGAATATTACACAGAAAGAGCTGCTCCAGGTTATTTCTTGGAAGTGAAGGCGGCAGACATGCTGTGCTCCTGCATTCCTCAGCTTGTGGTTGTAATAACTCTGACTTGTGTGAACGCAGAGCTGTGAGAGCACAGACGGGACTCAGCCAGCCAGGCTGAGACCAGGCACTGCAGATCTTCGGGGCTGCAAGTGGTTCAGCCGTGGGCAGGGTGTGCTGCACCAGGCAAAGCTCAGGAGAAGCAGTGAGGAGGTGTCACAGCAGCCTCTGCTCCCCAGTGAGGCCAAGACTGCACCCTGAGAAACGAGGTCCTGCAGGTTTTGCACTTGAGGAAATGCCTTTTGAACCAGAAGCTCTGTCCTGTCTCCCCACAGGAGCTACGTGATGAAGATCAAGAAGCCTTTTGCTCTGCACTGTGACCCCTTCACCAGCAGCATAGAGGTGTTGAACACGCCACAGAAAGTCAAGAGGGCACTCCGCCAGATAAAAGAGGAACTGGAAAACTTCTGCTTGGCCCTTGAAAACCTCTCTTAAAACCCCAGCAGTACATCTCACCTGTCACTGAGATACCTGTAGGTGGTGCTAGCACTTGAAGGCTTAGTGATGAAGTTGTACTCGCAGGCAGAAATTTTAAATGCACAAACCAGCTCAGTACAGATAATCTTTTCACTGTAATTTAGGCTACTGACTTAGATGAAATAATGAGCTCCTGCTTAGAATGCTTCAATCACAAACAAGCCTTACTCCAGTTTTTGGTAGGTAATATGAGCATACTTATGTGTTAGGGAACTCACACAGGTTTTTTTCCTTCCCTTGCCACCTTTTCAAGTTATCTGTCATAAAATACATGGTAACTTTTCATCCACACAGAGTTGTAATTGCTGCCTTAATAGTATGATCACAGCCTCTTAGGCTGGCTAGCTGTCCACAATTAGCAGCTAACTAACTGCTGCTAACTAATTAGCAGTCCTCACAGCTAACTCCTGGCTGCTAGCAATTAGCATCACTTATTGCCCACAAATGGTCCTCAAAAATATGCAAATACAAGAGTTTGTTAGAGGAGCACTTCTGCTCACTATTTCTTTTTAAGTACTCTTTCAGTAGCCTTGAAATACGACAAAATAATTTCTTGTCACATTTGAGATTACAGAATATTTGTACCTTCATTGAAAGAAAAAAAAATAAAAGGTTCAAGGTACTTTGTCTCTGTCACATACAGGGATTCTTAATTTGAATGGGAAATCTAACTTCTAGGAAGGAAATTCTTGTATAAGGAAAGATTTGTAAAAAGCCTGTTAGCAAATAGGCTTCCATTACTTTTTTTCATGGAATTCAGATTCCCCTGGATACCATTAGATATCTTTGCCTCTTGTTGATGTCATGATGATTGTAGTAATGATCAAAAGGTCAAATCTATGGAACACCTGGTGGAAAACATAAGATCAACCACTAGCAGCCATATAACCTTGCTATAGAAAAAATATCTGGTATATTCTGCAAGACATCTCATCTCCCTCTCCAGCTCCTGAGATGTGCCTGAAGTTTATGTTCCACAGGTCACATTTCCCGTAATCAGTCTTATTATTGCCTATTCCAGACTTTCATGCTGTTTATGTCCCTTTCCTTCCTCTACAATGCACAAATAGAGGGTAGCTCAGGAAAAGAGGATGATGCTCCAGACCAGAAGGGCTCCCTCTCCTCTCAGCAGCAGTGCAAGCAGATGGGGTTGATGCAGGTAACAGGCATGGCATAAGAAGGGAAAATGTGGATCTCATGGCTCAAGCTGATAGTTATCTACAAATGTAAAGGCAGATTTATCCTGTGCCACTTAGAAGCTCTACTTATTTATTCTAAATTATATTTAGCACGTGGCTGCCTTGCCCACTGCTACCCACCAGCTGCCCAGTACCCAGTGTACAGGGTCTGAGCTCTGAGGAAAATGCGAGGTGGTTTGGCTCTTGATGGAAAAGGAGTTATCAGAAAATGAGTTACCATCTCTGCCTGAGCTGCTCGCTGTGGGATAGGAACATGTACACAGGCAGTTGTCACAGAGCAATCCACAGGCTGTTATTTCATACAGACCTTATCTCACTGTCATTTTTCCACTTGTCAGGCTCTATAGAAACTGTCTTATTGAAAGTTAATAGAATGCTGGTTCTTAAAGCTCCATGTCTACAGCACTTCCAAAAATTTTCCCATGAGCAGCAATATTCAGGATCTGTGTATCTGCTGCAACTGCTCCGTTTTATTAAAATGTAGTGATGCCTGAAAAATTTTGAAGTATCTTGGAAAAATGGCTATAAGACCCCCTTCCTCTTAGCAGCAGGAACATCCCAATCTCCTTTTTTATTTTAATTTGTTTCAAAATTCTACTCCAGGAGAACACTTGCATATCATAAACCCTGTTTTGCTAGAAATTCAGCCAGGGACAGAGCTGAAGTGAGTTCCTTTGCTTCCAGTATATTTCTGCTGTGATGGAAGATGATCTCTCAGCATGCTTTTATGGGTTTAATTCTACTTATCCTGCTCATAAACACACACACACAAATACCATTCCTCCTCAGAGCAATTTGTTTTCTTACATATTGTAATAATTTATCTGTCTGCTTCCTGCCAATTGGTGCATAGGCAAAAAATATTTGATAGTTCACAACAGATTGTTTTCAGAAGTATTATTTTCATCAATCAGTCCTTTTACAGTGAAAATTAAATCATGTGCTCGAGTTCTGTGTGTTTTCCTTTCCTTTCTTTTTAAGTGGAAGATAATGCCAGAGCGGAAGAGCTATCAAAATATTTTCTATAGACGGACTCTCTGGGCCATAGGGTCTTTTTCATGTATTCCCTCTGAAACGGCTGAATGTGGAATTTAGACTTGAGTCTGGCTATTACTCAGAACAGACCTATATTTGGAAGAAATGAGAGACCTGATGGATTTGTTTTGCCCAAGGCCTCACACTTTCTTTGGAGGGACTCCAGGCCCGCCCACACATCCTTGTCTTTTCCAGGTCCTGTAGCAAGGAGAGAAAAAGAAACCATTTTGGAGCCAGATTCTCCCACCCTTACACATGCTGAGTAGTACCCAACCTCTCAAGCAATCCCAGCGACAGCACTGAGCCTGTTTAAGGTGCTGCACACAGGCAATTTTATCAGCAAGATTATCAGAATCACTGTGGGTGTACTTGCTTTTTCCTGCCTCAGTGATGGTCAGCTGGCATACAGGGCTAGGGTCGGCTGCAGTGAAACTTGGTGAAGCTGCAGAAGTAATGGATTTGGCTACCTGAACTATTAAGATGCACAAATATTTTTCCAAAGGACGTAAATCTTTTCCTCCTTGCTCAGGCAGAACCTACCCCAGGCTAGCCACATTTGACACTCCCCTCTGAGAAGGTCCAAATTCTTTTCTTTTGATTCAGTGTAGTGACAAAACAAAAGCCTTCAGGGTTACATCCTTAGGAGTTACACTGGTCATTCTGCTCTTCCAATTGTCATTCTTGCATTTCCTCACAGAAGCCAACAAGTACCTCATCCTCCTGTCAGTCTAAGGCAGCAATGATGGGAGAGGCAGTCATGGGGCCTCCCGATGAAAATAATGGCACAGAGGAAAAAGCACCAACCAGTAAAAATATGTCTTTTTGTCAGTTTGCATTTCAGCAGTTTCATATTAATCTTGCACAGAAAAGGTTCCATAGCCAAGTAAAACACATCTTTTGACTTGAAACTGAACTGATGAACTCCCCATGGGCCCTTTGCTTATCCCGATAAACTTATTTTTTCCTAGATGGAGTGCATTTAGAACCAAATAGTGTATGTTATTAAATCTGCATTGTGTTCTTCAGTATACATGGGAGAGTTAGTAAATTCAGTTTGTGGGTTTGGGTTTGTTTTGTTTTTTGGCAAACCAAGTCTGTCCTCTACCAATTTTGGTCCACCTTCAAGCCTCCAGCTGCTTCACTGCTTCCCTGCAGATTTGCTAGTGATGCCAAGGGTACCACTGTGTTAGGAGAATATGCAGTTATGCAATTTGGGGAATTTGGCAGGACAGCAAGGGGAAATTTAGGCTGGCCTCCCACCCACTCCCATGAGAAATAGTATTGTATTACAAGGCAGTGCTGTCATCCTCAGAAAGAACTTCTCAATCACTTCCCTCTGGTTCCCTTAACATTTTGATCTTTGTACTACCTGGTGAATATAAAACTTTCTTAACCATTTCAAGAAAGGCTGGGGTGGGGGGGTGAGGTGAAGGAAGGGTGAGTAGAGAAAAAAAAAAAAAAAAGAAAGAAAGAAAAAAGAAAAAGACCTTCCAAGAAAGGAAACCTCATTACCCTCAGTCTTCTTTGTCTCTGCTGAGCCATGAAGAAAGAAGAAAACAAATCAAGCTTCCATGGAAAAGATAGTGTTTCCCAAAGAAACCTACATCATTAACCTCTTCCATGTACAACTTCACACATGAAGATCTCCTTACACCCATTACTGAAATGCCATGACTTCCCCAGTGAATCATGACCACCAATTAACTGTGCACAGAAGTGTTACATGACTTCTTGAGTCAGGAAATGAAGCTACCAGGAAAAACCCTGCAGCAGCTATGCCTTACACACCTACTGCAAAAACAGAAGGTTCTCTAGAGCCTGCTTCCTTACGTATCCTACAGTATGGAGAAATTCCAGTTGGCATAGAGACAGAGGGGTACACACACACATCCCCAGTAATCTCAGCCACCACTAATCAGGAGTTTATACATGGGCTTCGAGATTTAGTCAAAGACATTACTTTGCAGCAGTCTTCAGCTGGCACATGATCAGAGGTTGGCAGAAAGGGTTATTGGCTGTATCATATTAAATATACATTAGGTTTGGGTAAAGCTGGTGGCTGAGGCCCAAGGTGAAAGCAAATCTCTGGCACCCTCTCCCACCACACAAACTCCCCAGGAGAATGACAGACTAGAAAAGGAGCAGAAAGGCTGACAACTGGCAGAGCAAAGGCATGAGGAACAGAAAGGACCCATAGATATGCCCGAAACATGTTTGCTGTGCATAGGCTGTTTCATTGTATTTGAGAAACATTTCTGCCTGAATGGGAACTTTTTAGCATAAAGGACACAATTTTGTACCTGTTAGAGTGTGGAGTAGGTCACTTAAGATTTTTTAACCCTGCCTGAAAAACATTAGCCTTATCTGAGGTATTTAACTTTGAACATGGGATATAAAAGATAGAAAACAGAAAAGAGTTCTTTAGAAAAGACGTTTTAATGTGGTGTGTGCAAAACAACACACCAAAGAAGGGCAACAAGTCTTGTGAAGGGTCTAGAAAACATCTTATGTGGAACAGCTAAGGAAGATGGTTTTATTTAGCATCAAAAAGAGGAGGCTCAGGGGAACCTCATTGCTCTCTACAACTCCCTGAGAAGAGGCTGTAGGCAGGTGGGGGTCAGTCCCTTCTGCTGTGCCTGCAGAGAGAGCACAAGAGGAAATGACCTTCAGCTGAGACAGGGCACATTCAGACCAGATATGTAAAAGGTTTGTTCCCTGCTAGGG